CGACTCCCCCTGGCTCCCCCTGACTCCCCCTGGCTCCCCCCCTGACTCCCCCACCGACTCCCCCTGGCTCCCCCCTGACTCCCCCTGGCTCCCCCCCTGACTCCCCACCGACTCCCCCTGGCTCCCCCCTGACTCCCCCTGGCTCCCCCCTGACTCCCCCTGGCTCCCCCCCTGACTCCCCCTGGCTCCCCCCCTGACTCCCCCTGGCTCCCCCCTGACTCCCCTGGCTCCCCCCCTGGCTCCCCCCCTGACTCCCCCTGGCTCCCACTGGCCCCTCCCCCTGGCTCGGTCCCCGGGATCCTAAACTGTGAAGCGCTCTGAGACGCTGTCCGGTGTGGGGGGCACTATATACATCCAAGTTGTTGTTGTTGTAGTGTAAAATATAGTGACTGTATATTTTGTCGGCACAACACGGCAACCGATTGCGCACAGCAGCGCGTCCCACAGACTATTGTGGATTGAGTGACCAAATTATTTTTTTTTAAATTAATTTTTGGAGGAATTATTACCTCCAGAAAAGTGATTTCACCCTCTGACTGGGAAGTGCTGTTACTGCGGTGGACTCCTCCACCCCTCTACCCCCCTCTCCCACACCCCACCATTCCCCTCTCCCACACCCCTCTATTTCCCTCTCCCACACCCCTCTATTTCCCTCTCCTACACCCCTCCATTCCCCTCTCCCTCACATAAGCATCGAGTCTAGTTTTGCTCTCACACACTCACACCTGCCCTCACTCACACCTGCCCTCACTCACACCTGCCCTCACTCACACCTGCCCTCACGCTTACCTGTCCCAACATCTGCCCTCACACATTCACACCTGTCCCTCCACCTGCTCACACTTGCTCTCCCACCATCCGTCACACAGGTGACTACCCCCAAGGCTCTATTCTCGGTTCCTTCTCTGGTCTTTGACATGAGGACGTCCCACAGATATGGGGTTAACTTGCACTTGAATGCATAAGTTACCCCCATTTCCTCCTCCTTGTCCATCCACAACCCCAGGTCAGCAACTTCTGTCCTCTCGCTTGTCACACACTAAACCCTGGACCAGCTCTAACTTTCTGCAGCTGAATGTTGACAACATGGAAGACTTCCTTAATCTTCCCAGCCTATCCTGACTGGGACAGAGAGAGTCACACAGAAAGAGAGAGTCACACAGGGAGAGTCACACAGGGGAGAGAGAGAGTCACACAGGGAGAGAGAGTCACACAGGGAGAGAGTCACACAGGGAGAGAGTCACACAGAGAGAGAGTCACACAGGGAGAGAGTCACACAGGAGAGAGAGAGTCACACAGGGAAGAGAGAGAGTCACACAGGGAGAGAGTCACACAGGGAGAGAGAGTCACACAGGGAGAGAGAGTCACACAGGGAGAGAGAGTCACACAGGGAGAGAGAGAGTCGCACAGGGAGAGAGAGAGTCGCACAGGGAGAGAGAGTTATTGCTTCCCCCAATAACCAAGGATGCATCCGTCTGGACCAGGTGACCTATCCACCTTGAGGACTGACAACCTGTGTAGTACCTCCTCTCGTTTTGTAAAGACAGATGCACAGTCCTCATTCAATACATCAGCTATGCTCTCTGCCTCCACAAGATTCCCTCTTGGGTCCCTAATTGGACCCCCCTACCTTTGACTAACCTTTTATTCTTTATGTGCTTTTAAAATACCTTAAGGTTCCCTTTATGTTACTTGTTAATCTTTTCTCATACAATCTCTTTGCCTCATTTCCTTTTTTCAGTTCTCCTCTGTAGTTTCTATATTCTATTTGATTATCTTAAAAATAATAATAAAAATAATAATAAAAATAATAATAAAAAAATAATAATCCTGGCATTTGATATTGCGCTTTTTACATCTTCTAGAAGTCTCAAAGCCTTCACAGAATATGCTGTAAAGTGAAGTGACCGTATATTTGTGGGCGAAATGTCTTCTGTATTGTGGACCTGACATTTATCATAAACCTTTTTCTGGTTTATTTTAATCCGACTTTCCTTATTCCCCCGGGGAGGTTTGGATGCCCTCCTTTCCCATTTATGGAAATATATTGATCAAGAGGGGAAAATAGATCACGAGGGCAAACTAGCAAAGAAAATAAAAACAGACTCCAAGAGTTTTTACAAATATATAAAGAGGAAAAGGCGAGAGAGGGTGAATAATAATAATAATAATAATAATAATAATAATAATAATAATCCTTGCATTTGATATAGCGCTTTTCACGTCGGGAGGACGTCCCAAAGTGCTTCACAGAACACACTGTAAAGTGAAGTGACTGTATATTTGTGGGCGAACGCGGCAGCGAATTGCGCACAGCAATGTCCCACAAACAGTCGTGGATTGAAAATAACCAATTTATTATTGTTTTTGGTTTTGGAGGATTATTATTAGGCTCTGTGTGGAGTAAGGAAACTTGCCCAAGGTTTCGCCCTCTGCCTGGAATTGAACTCAGGTCTCTCACTCGCAAAGCGAGTGCTCTAACCACTGAGCTACAGGACTCCACAAATGTGGGTCCATTACAGGCAGAGACCGGAGGAATTATAATAGGGGACAAAGACATGGCAGAGTCATTAAACAAGTATTTTTCTACAGTCTTCACCGTAGAAGACACTGGAAACATACCAAAAATAGAGGACCAAGAAGACAATGTTAGTGAGCAACTTAGGGAGATTAACATCAGTAAAGAGATGGTTCTCGGTAAATTGTCGGGTCTTAAAACCGATAAATCCCCTGGACCGGATGGCCTGCATCCGAGAGTTTTAAAGGAGGCGGCTACTGAGATAGTGGATGGCTTGTCTATAATCTTCCAAAAGTCTGTGGATACTGGAAAAGTTCCCATTGATTGGAAGATTACAAACGTAACTCCACTATTTAAGAGGGTGGGAGAGAAAATAGGGAAAACTATAGACCAGTTAGTTTGACGTCAGTTGTAGGGAAAATTCTTGAGTCCTTAATAAAAGACGTAGTTATGGGATACCTGGAAGACCATGAAAAGATTAGGCAGAGTCAACATGGCTTTACAAAAGGGAAGTCATGCTTGACTAACCTTTTAGAATTTTTTGAGGATGTATCGGAGGTTGGATAAGGGGGAACCAGTAGATGTGGTATATTTGGATCTTAGGAAGGCATTTGACAAGGTGCCACACAAAAGGCTGTTACTCAAGATCAAGGCCCACGGGATTAATGGGAAAATATTAACATGGATAGAAGAGTGGCTATCGGGTAGAAAGCAGAGAGTAGTGATAAACGGATCATTCTCGAATGGGCAGGAGATGTAACTAGTGGAGTGCCACAAGGATCAGTGCCTCGGCCTCAGCTATTTACCATTGACATCAATGATCCAGACGAGGACATTGAATGTAACGTATCTAAATTTGCGGATGACACTAAACTCGGGGGAGAGTGAGCTCTGAGGATGATGCAAAAGATTGCAATGGGATATAGACAGGCGAGGGGAGTGGGCGAGTCGGTGGCAGATGGAATTTAATGTGGGGAAGTGTGAAGTTATTCACCTCGGCAGCAAAAATAGAAAAACAGATTATTTTCTAGAGGGGGAGAGATTAGACAGTGTTAGTGTTCAGAGGGATTTGGGTGTCCTTGTACACCAGTCTCAAAAAGTTAGTTTGCAGGTTCAGCAGCAACTGAGAAGGCGAACGGCATATTAGCGTTCATTGCCAAAGGTTTAGAGTACAAGAGTAGGGAAGTCTCGCTGCAGCTATATAGGGCTTTGGTGAGACCGCACCGAGAGTATTGTGTGCAGTGTTGGTCTCCTTATTTAAAAAAGGACATACTTGCCCTCGAGGGGGTGCAGCGTAGATTCACTCGGTTAGTGCCTGGGATGAGGGGACTGACCTATGAGGAGAGGCTGAATAAACTACAACAACAACTTGGATTTATATAGCGCCTTCCATGCCGGACGGCGTCTCAGAGCGCTTTACAGTAACGGATCCCGGGACCGAGCCAGGGGGAGGGGTGGGAAGGTGACCTAAGGCGCGGTCGAAAAGAGACCAGAAAATGGGAAGGGAGGGAGCGAGACGAAGGGAGTGAGGAACAAGGGCTGTATTCTCTGGAGCACAGAAGAATTAGGGGAGATCTTAGTGAAACATAAGATTCTTAAAGGGCGGATAAAGTAGACACTGAGGGTCTGTTTCCCCGGTGGGAGAATCTGTAACCGGGGGTCACAGTCTGAAAATTAAGGGTCAGCCTTTTAGAACAGAGTTGAGGAAACATTTCTTCACTCAGAGGGCAGTGACTTTATGGAATCCACTCCCCCCGAAGGCTGTAGATGTCAGTCCTTCAACATCTTCAAGGCTGAGACTGATAGATTCTTGAAAAACAGAGGGATTAGGGGATATGGGGAGAGAGCGGGTAATCAGAGTTCGGTCAGAAGATCAGCCGTGATCTTATTGAATGGCGGGGCACAGGCTCGAGGGGACGAATGGCCGACTCCTGCTCCTAATTCT